GAAGGAGAGACTGGCCCTCCAAAGCCAATCCAATACTTAAAAGCCAATGAGCTTTACAGATCATCCACTACCAGATGAGCAAAGACTTATTTTACAGCCCTTCACGGATGCAAATATATAGCAGTCATGCTGTGTGTGATTTTACAGCTAAGCATCATTTGAGAAGACTCTCACCTGGCAGCATATTGACAGAAGGCTCAACAATTTTCACCCTTCCACAGTTGCCTAAGGACATCCACATCTGACCAGTGCAAGGCTGGACAGGACTGAGGTGGGGACTAGGTGGACCTCTGACCCTGCCCAGTGCACCTGCTCTTTCACTGACACAAATGTAAAACACTGTGGTTTGACCCTGGCTGGACATCAGGTACCCAAAGCTGCTCTATCACTCCCTTCCTCAACTGGACAGAGAAGGGAAAACGTACAAAAAGGCTCATGAGTTGAGATAAGGGCAGGATGAGATTCTCACTGATTACCAACAGGGGCAAAACAGACTCGACTTGGGGATATTAACTGAATTTAGTACCAATCAAAACCAGAGCAGGATAATGACAAGCAAACTCAAATCTTAAAAACACCTTTCTCCCACCCTTCCAGCAGCACAGGGAGACGGGAATGGGGACTGAAGTCAGTTCATTGTTTCTGTCACTGCTTCCTCCTCGGGGAGAGGAGTCCTTCCCTTGCTCCAGTGTGGGCTGTCCCACAGGAGACATGTTCCACATGTGCTCCATGATCTTTTCCTACATGAGTCCTTCCCACGGGCTGCAGTTCTTCACAAACTGCTCCAGTGTGTCACACAGGGTCACAACTCCAGCCACTAAACCTGCTCCAATGTGGCCTCCTCTCTCCATGGATCCACAGGTCCTGCCAGGAGCCTGCTCCAGCACAGGGTCACCATGGGGTCACAGACTCTCATGGGCTTACTTTCTTTAAAGCTTCCATATTTCTCCACAAACTTCCCAAATATACTTACTTTGTGCAAGACAGATTTAAAATGTATTGAAACTGCTGCACACATGCAGATCAGTGTAGCACATGTTCAGTAGTGTGACATTCCCTAAAATATCAGAAACACTGTATAAAAGCCATGCAGGCACAGCTAGTGAAGTGGACACTTCCATAACTCCCGGGAATAAAGCAGTACAACTGAAACTCCTGCATGTGTACAGTGGAGGGGGGAAAAAGCAACAAGACAGGAATGTGGAGTCTCAGAGATTAAGAGAAACATGGAAGACAGCAGGGTGAGAAAGTATTCAGCAGACATGGAACTAGTGCTGCATAAGGACAACTCTGCAAGGGGTTTAGCCAAACATGTACCAGCTAATAAACCTCTTTCAACCACTGCCACACAAATTTTGTTAGTTACCTCTCCATTATCTGCATTTTGGAGGAACAGCCCTTCACCTCCCAGTCCTACTGCCAGCCTTGATAACACCAGTGCTGAGATCAGTCCCAGCAGTCCCTCCCACAGCCACCACCAGCCCTCCCTCACTCCATTCAGTGAGCACAACACAGGACACCTGAGATGGCACAGGACTGGGAAGGCTCTTTAGCTTGAGCCTGGACCCCACTCCTCATCTATACCTTGAAAACCACCTCAGATCTGCTAAGAGCCTTTGAGCACATTGCAAGTCACAGTGAGTTTCCTCTACTGCAATTACACTGCCAAAGAAGTCAAGACCTTTTCTTCTATAAATCACATAAACTTATACAAGCTACAAATGTAGAGGTATTCCATTCCATTCCCCCCATATCATCCCTGCTCCTTCCATTTCAGTAGCACAACAGTTAGAGAATATCTCATGATCCTATCAAGCCCTGAGAGAAGTCATCAGTGGAACTACAGAAGACATTCCTTACCACATGAATGCATATTTTTCAGTGTGGATGTCTATCTTGCACATGTGGGAAGACAGAAAGGTCTTCAGAAAAAAAAAAAAAACAAACCTGTGCCATAACAAGGATTCACAGTACTGAGTATTTAGGCCACCAATAAAGTACCCCAGAATAAGCAGAGAAAATGTACAGGCACTACTTTTGCAGTTCTCCTTCACAGAACTGTATTTTAATCACAAAGCAAGTAAAGATGTACTTGAAAAAACATTTGACATTCTGTTTGTTCTTAAAAATCTCTTTTACAACAAGAAGCATTAAATATATGCCTTCTGGTCTTACCAATACCCATCCAGCCCAGTGTTCTGCTTTCAACAGCAGCAATATGAGACATCACTTAGGGAGTGAGTCGAAGCCTACACCACTGCCTGGGGTCACTTCTCTTGTACTCTTTCAATACCCAAAGACATACAAGTGGAGGGAGAATGATCCAGGGACATGATCACCTCTGCAGAACAGAAGGAAATGAAGAGGACAGTGGCACAGAAAGCAATCTGAATGTCCCAGACTCACAACCCCAGCTTGCTGTGAACCACTTCCACAGAATCCCAGTCTGAAAACGCCTCTTTCCCTACAGTTTGAAAGCCTCTACAAGTACCCCATTCAGTCCCAGAAAGAACTGAAGCTCTTCAGCAGACACATGTGCACAACAGGCAAGAACCTCCACACACCTGCCCAACAGGCAGGACAGGCACATTTTTCCCATGTGCTTCCCTACTGCCAAGATGACTCTCAGGTAGCATTCAAAACCTGCTTAAGGGCACATAACCCTAAATCCAGTCTTGCAGGGTTCCAGTATCCCTCATCTACTACATGTAGCCTCCAGACAGGAAGATATTCTTTCTCAATGTGACCTAGTTAGAAAAACTAGTTGAAATATCCTGATATTTACAATTAAGTCAGGGTTGTGATACTGCAGAAATAAATTAAGCTTATTCCACAATCCAGATAATTTCTAAATACCAACTTTATTCAATTAAATCCCTTACGAATAAAACACTTTAGATTACATGTTTTTGTTAGACTGTAGAATCTACATATCATATATGAGGAAAAATACATTAGAATACATTCAATTATGTGCAGATTATTGTAAGAAATAGAAAAAAATTCAAGACATAAAGAAACCTTGGATAAAACATAAAAAAACCTTGGATAAGACAGTAAAAATCCTTGGATAAGACATAAAAACCCCTTGTTTACTCCTGAGTTTTCTGCCTTAGAAATGTGCAAATATTCAACTGCAGTTTTGTATTTCTAAAAGCCCTACATCAGATTACAGGTAACTGAAACCATCCTTTCAGGATACTATGAGAAAGCACAGACTTAAGTAAGCCAAAGAGTAGAAAAGATGTTTTTCCTAGCCTTTTTCACACCTAGTCCACATTATTACTTTTCCTTAAATGAATATTTCCTAAGCAGTGGTTGACTGCTTGGTGCCAACTCATCACTTCTGACAGAATTAGTTTAAAAAGGATTTTTTTTCTGATGGTACATCACTAGCATCGTCACAGCAGTGTTCATTACGCATGGAAGGGTCCCTGAAAACACTGAATGTTCCACATTACTCTAAATTCTGCCTCAAGTATTCTACACAGTTCACATTTTAGAGTTCTGGTACAGATTTCGAGACTATAGAGACAGCTGCACCACTGGAACTGTGCTAAGTGGGAGGTTATTGATGAAAGGAGCTGAGGAGAGAACTGCAGTGCTCAATGAAGGTAATGCATTCACACATCAAAAAAACCCTATTCTTCCCATGCTATCTGTCAAATAGAGAAGTTGATTTTTACTTTGTGAAGGCAGTCTAACAGGTGTCACATGGCTGGACACCAATGACTAACCAGGAAACAAGTGACCACCTTTTACTGAGCAGAGATTCTCAACAAAACCAAACCAATAAACAAAAAAACCTCCAAACAAAAAAAAGCAATACTTCACCACTCCTTCCACCAAAATAGTAATTAAGATCAGGCACATGGAAAATTCATTCCATCATACTCATATTTGCAGTGGATGACTCCATAATGCAAGAGCACTGATGACACACATGTCCAATGCAGTCTGCTACAAGACCAGCTCTCCAGCTGGGTCTTAGCCCCTATACATTTTCACAATTCAGACAGTCTCAAACACTTGTCACATTTTCAAAAACCCCTTTCTGCACAGGTTTTCCCTTCCTCCTCCTTAAACAGGTAGAGCAGAAACTGGAGCACACCACCACAGCTCCCAGCTGCAGACACAGGGTGCTGGGCCCCCTTTGCAAAGTCAAACCCAGCACTGCTTCCTGCTGACAGCCCTAGAGCAAGGCCAAACAAAGCAGCATCAAGACTGTAGGATGTCAAGGAAACTTCTCAAAGTTGGAAGTCTGTAAAGAAGCCCGAAGAACTTATCGTAACAACTAATTTCTGATTTTTAAAAAAGCCAATCATAAAGAGAACTAGAACTGGGCTCTTCACAAACACAGAACTTCGTTTTCCCTACCGGGGGTCATTGTACAGCCCTCTGAAGCACACCATCACTTACAGAACTCACACGGGCAACGGGAAACAGCACGTTTCAAGATACCAATACCTTTCAAAAGCTCTTTTTAGGGATCTCCACCCAAGCGTTTCACTGAGCCATACTAGAAATACACCAAAGAAATGCTAAAGAGTGTTTAAACACAGTATACAAAGCCCAAATTCCCACAGCCTGAGACAGAATTAAGCTGATGATCCTCAACCAAGATTATGCCCTCAGTGTATATTTTCATACACCGTTTAGGCTTATCAAGAATATTTAACATCTTCCCGGGGGGTAAAAAAAAACAAACCAAACCAAACCAAGCAAACCCAAACCCCAGCACTTGAGAGGTTACGCACAGCTCAGCATCCCTGTCCCGGACGCGTCTGTCTCACGCGTTAAGTTTCAGCCCCCGGCCCGGCGCTGCCGGACCCCTCGCACACCTGCCGGGCCGCTCTCGCCGCAGGCCGTGCCCGGCGCTGCCCGTCCCGGAGCGCGTCCGGCGCTGCACGGAGGGCTCGGGCCGCCGGCACCGCCCGCCCCCGGCCCGGCACTCGCGGGAGCCCCGACCCGCGCCCCCCCCCGCCCCGCCCGGGCCTCACCGCCAGGTCCTGCGGCACCGCTCCGCTCATGGCCCGCACGGTGCCGCTCCGCCAGGCCCGCGCGGGCAGCGCAGGCCCCGGCTCCGGCCCCGCCGCTTCGCCCTCGCCCGGCCCCGCCGCCAGCAGCAGCAGGAGCCGCTTCCCCACGGGGGAGGCCGCCGCGTCCGCCATCCCCGCCGGGCAGAGCCGCCGCCGCCCGAGCGCTCCGGCCGCCGCCGCCCGAGACACCGAGAGGCTCCTGCCCCGCGCTGGGCCCGAGCGCCGCCCGCCGCCGTCCCGGCGTGCACCGCGCCGGCCGCCCGGCCCCACAGCGCCCCGCGCGGGACGGGCGGGACCGGCGGCGTGAGGGGAGCGGGCGGGGGAACGGGACAGGGGCCGGGACAGGGACTGGAGGCGTGAGAGGAGCGGGCGGGGGAACGGGACAGGGGCCGGGACAGGGACCGGAGGCGTGAGAGGAGCGGGCGGGGGAACGGGACAGGGGCCAGGATAGGGACTGGCGGTGTGAGGGGAACGGGACAGGGACCGGAGGCGTCAGGGGAGCAGACGAGGGAACGGGAGAGGGGCCGGGACGGGGATCGGAGGCGTGAGGGAAACGGGCGGGGGAACGGGACAGGGACCGAGACACTGCCGGGCGGTGTGAAGGGAACGGGCGGGGGAACAGGATAGGGACCGGGCTGTGAGAGGAGAACTGGGGCAGAGAACAGGCACGGTGTGACGGGGGAACCGGGACGGGAACGGGGGCCAGGGCGGTGTGAGGAGAACCGGGACAGGGAACGAGGCGGTGTGAGGGGAACCGGGATAGGGAAACGGGATAGGGAAACAGGCTGGTGTGAGGCGATCCGGGACGGGTGAATGGGACAGGGAGACGGGATAGGGATCGGGGCGGTGTGAGGGGAACCGGGGCAGGAAACGGGTCGGTGTGAGGGGACTCCGCGACAGGGAAACGGGACGGAGAAGCGGAACGGTGTGAGGGACGGGACCGGGACGGGAACCGGGGCGGTGTGAGGGGCTGCTGGGAGGGGGAACCCGAGACAGCCGGTCATCGGGCAGGAGCCTTCCTGCGGCAGGGCCTCTCACGAACGCCAAGTTCAAAACCTGGAGTTATCGAAGAAACTAAGGAGCTTTAACCTAAATTTCGAGGTAAACCCAGAGAAGAACCAGTACCCGTGTCTGAGGCTGGATCCTACGGCTGGCATGAGGAACTGCACGGTGCTGGGTGCGTTGCTTTCCCGTGAGGCAGATTTTGGAAAGGCATGTGTTTAGGGAGTGATTAAGATACAAAATCTTAATGAATTCAGCTGTCACGAGGAACTGGTAAATTTGAACAGTTCTCATGCAGCACAGTACATTGCCCTAAACTTGCCCCTTTTCAACATGAACCACCACAAAATACTTCAGAATCCCACAGCTGGAAAAATGATGTGGTTTTACATCTGTTTCTGCTTGTGCAGAAATAGTACCATTGTGTGAAAGATTCCAAGTGGTCCTATATCCCCCTCCCATTCCACCAGCTCAGACTCACATTGCCATGATAAAGCAGGCCAGCATTTCCCATCTCCTGAGCACGGTGGTGGGTATTCCAAAGGCACACAACATCAGTTAGAACAACAGTGATAAAATCCACCAAACCAGGGGGTTCTTAACTGTCATTAATGATCAACCCAGGGAGCTGGGTTTTAATTCACAAAGCATGAATTAACTTCAACTTATGAAATACTTAACAAACTTTTCTATGCTAATTGCTAATTCTGTTGCACCAACTTCTATTACAGTTAGAAAACTTAAGTTTCATGGCTTAATTCTGTGTGTTAATTTCAAATACTATTTTACTGTAAAAGGGTGAAGACAGGTACTGCTGTTAAATTACACACTTCAATGGCTGCTAAACCAGTACAATTCCAACTCGTGAGAAGTCAGGTAAGTAACCATCAGGTGCCATCCAAAAGTGTCCCTTAAGCACTGAAGATGCCTGCTTCTCCAGTCTGTACCCTTCCCGGCCTTGACTGATGGTCAATGCTCCAGAATCCAACGCAAGTAATTTGCCAGAGTGGCTGATCCAGGGACCGGCTGTGTGGTTTCTCTTATTTGGGAAAAGCAGGACTGATGCAGACGCTCACCTGTACAGGTTCTCAACCCTCCCCTTCAATATCGTACCTAAGGCCACCCCTTCCATAGACAGCAGCCGTGTTCTTTGGAGAATTTTATTAAAATATATCCAAGAAGTAATCAAACATTTTCTTATGAGTCAGGAGAGAACTGAAGTGAGAAAAACATCTGTACAGAGGACAGTGCTGTAAGTTTTTCTTTACATGCTTTATTTCAATGTTTCACAGTTTAGTCATTGTCTACAAAAATATATTTCTGAAACTCTGAGTCCTCTATAAAAAAAGCTGGTCAGCAGCAGTGACCCTGACAAACAGAATGTACCTTGGGACAGTGTGAGCACCTCCTGTAAGCAGATTAGTGCAGCTAGGGCACTCCTGCCTCACCCTGGGAGACTTCTGTTCTTTGGGATTAAAGCTCTGCACTAGTTCTGAAGGAAGGCATTAAAAAAAAAAAAATCATTCCACTTCTGTATACTGCACTAAGCTTGGGAGGGGGAGCTGCAAGTCAGTGTATCACACAGCAGAAAGTGCTAACAAAGCACTTGGCACTCAGGGAAAGGAGAAGACCTCAGGGTGCTTTAGTACTGGTAAATTTTTCTTTGAGCTCTCCGTTCAGAACAGCCTTTGTCTGGTGATAATAGGTTCAGGCTGTCAGCAGAGGTACAAATGGCAAACAGGCAGAGTAATCCCATAAGCGCAAAGAGAGTCCTTTTTTTGAGGACAGGATAAGAGTTCTGTTCAGTTTTACATCAACATTTTCTGCTGTGGCTTTAATCAAGGGGAAAATTGCCTTCAAAACCAATCACAAGTTGTTGGACAGAACAGAGCCACTATCAGTGCTGTCAGCTTCAACTCCTTAGTACCCATAACTGGAAATATTCCTTATAACATCAATTATTTAATTCCTACGCTTACTAGTCACCAGTGTATCTAGCCACCACAAATAAGAACTGAGAAACTCAAGTGTCCCCCAAATGAGATCTTTCTACTCTGCCTCTGCTCAGTTATTTGACTGGTCTACAGAGATACCTGCAGTTAAGAAAAAAAAAAATAAATTGCCTCTTTTAAAAAAATAAATCTATCTTGCATTGTGCTCTAGAAAAGACAAGGTCAATGTACTCTGATCCTCAGAGCTCATCATTAGAAGCCCCTTACCACAAAATAAATCTCAGACCTGAACCCCTAAGCAGGGCAGGAATTTTCAGCAGCAAGTAAGAGTAGTTATTGACAGACTGCTTCCCTAATGTGGTAACAGACAGAAGATGAGCTCTCTGAAAACTTTTCCACAGCTGCCTGTCAGAAGAAGAGTTTTCTGAGCCAGCAGCTTGTGAAATCTAGATTTCCTTGAGATTAGAGAATTCAGGAAAGTGCTGCTGGTTATTTTAGGTACATCTGCAATCAATGGGCTTCTGAGCTCTAGGCTTTTGTTCAGAAAAAGTTCTCCTGTAACTTGTGCCTACCACCAGTCCCAGTCTGATCTGCTAAACCTGAGCAGCCAAGGAGGTATATGAATTTTAAGTAGAATCAGCATCATCCACGAAAACACAGAAGCCATGAACCTTCACTGAGACAAATACCTTATCAAAAAAAGACACTCAGCACTAGAAAACTAATATCATCTCACTAATGCTAAACAGTTAAAGTGTAAAATCTGTAAGAAAACACCTGAAGTTTACTTCTTGACTATTTTCCTTTCTTGAATTGCTGGAGGGAGTGAGGGGGGTGGAGGAGAAAGGAAAGAATCACTTCACTGTATTAGTAGTAAGCCAGTATATAGAAGGCAGTGTTGGAGAAAAATTTAAAACCAGGAAAAAAAAATCTGAAAACTTACTGATTCCGAAAGCTTTCCTCACCTTCCCAAACTCAACAGCCTAAACAGAATTTTCATCCTCATACTTCAAGTTGTTTTTCCAGTCTGTTCCCATCTGTTCAGCTTCCAGTCACAGACACACAACAGAGAGAAGAATCAAGGGAGGCTGAGAAACCCACACATAGGGTTTTGCCTCCCATATAGCACCTACTTTATAGATCAACATGAACAAATCAATCAGAAATTGTTACGTCTTGTGCACAGAAAGCCTGTAACTAAAGTGTAACAAGATGAAATTAAAAGAAGATTTGGAATTAAAGAAAAATTTTGTCCCGTGGAACCTCTTTTTCTGAAGATTCCACACCCCACAAAGAAGCAGTTCATATTCAGTCATTTGTGAACTGGAAAAGACTTGTCAGCAACAATCCTGCCTTGGCTTCAGGTGAAAAGCTGAGAGTGCTCATTCTCCTTTAGTATCACAAAGCTTATTTCCGTAAAACAAACCGCTGTCTGGCCATGCCCTACCCTGCCATAGAGATGCAGGATATCAGAGAATCATGGAATAGCTGAGTTGGAGGGCACCCATCAGAATCAGAGTCCAACTCCTGGCCGTGTGCAGGAGACCCCAAGAATCCCACCAAGTGCCTGACAGCGTTGGCCGAACGCTTCTTGAACTCAGACAGGCTTGGTGCTGCCACCACTTCCCTGGGGAGCCTTTTCCAGTGCTCAGTCACCCTCTGGGTGAAAAACCTTTTCCTGACTGTCAAAAGCCTTCTCCATCAGCACAGACAAGTGGGATGTCACCTCTAGCTGATGCAGTTATGCAAAAAGAAAAAAAAAAACCTGTAGCATAAAGTTTAGAATCCCAGCATGATGGATACCTTGTGGATAAACACTGCCACAGACTGTGAGGTACTTGTGTGTGAGGAACCAGCAACTGCAGCTGCACATTATTGCTACTTGCTGTCTCTCAGGGCAAGCTTTTCCCATTTCTGCATTCTCCTGCCTTCTCCAAGTTACACACTCCAGGGTGAACTATTCTGAAGCCTCACCAACACGGTGGCCACCAGAACACATTTGATGACATTTTAATCCCTTCCAAATTATTTACAAGGCTGGCTTTGAGACTGTTACTTTTAACTTCAGGCCTAGAACTGCATAGAGGAAATTCTGTATGGTCAAGAACTAGCAGTACTTGCACTACGTCTCTTCTCACAGGAAGCATTAATTAAAACAAGCAAAGTAACACACAGAGCTTAGCCTAGGCTGCATTCTATCAAGGGCATAATGAAGACAGTAGTCACAACTTCTCCAATTCACTAGTATTTTTTCTAATATTCCAATGGCTACACTTAAGAGAGGTTCAGCCAAATTAAGTTAAAGCTACAAGTCACAACTGAAAAGTGTGCACTGAAGTCTGGTGTCAGGAACACTGAGGACCATCCCTGATCAGGCGGCTTCGCTTCTATTTTCGAGTGCACAAGGACAGCTCCCTGTCACAGACAACTGAAGCAGATATATGGGAAAACTCATTCATTAAGCCAAGGGGAGGCAAGGTCACTGCTGCCATGCCCCAGAGAAGGAGAAAGATTCATTGAGAGATTATAACTAAAGGGTTACAAAAAGGCAAGAACTAAAGTTTGTCGGTAATGAAATGCATTCTCCTGTCCCATATGAACAGGAAACAGTCTCTGTAGGGTGTTAAAGAAGGTCCTAGGAGGAGATTACCTCCTACTTTTTTCTGCTGCCAAAGGAGAGGAGAGAAAGACGCTGCTATTGGTCAGCAGGAATCTCTCTGTCTGCATCCAGTTTGCTCGTCTCTCCTGGGGAAGGGGTACGTGGTGCAGAGTGAGAAACAGGAGGAATCCCATGAGCTACAATCCCTTCCACTACTGGTGGTTCTGGTAGCCCAGGGGTGGCTACTCCCACTACTCCTGGAGGAAACCTAAAACCAATAGAAACATAGAAGTTACAAGCTTGTCCAACAGTTATTCAAGGAGAAAGGAGCCGTGCCCTCAGACAACTGCTGAATACAAATCCCTCTTTCTAAAAAATTCTCTGAGATAGAACACAGGAAAAGTCTCCAGAGCTGAAGAGTAGCAGTGATATCCTAATGCCAAATGACACCTGTTCACAGAGATAGTCTCAGGTCACATACTAAGCATTTGGATAAAGGTACAAAGTTCATCTCCAGTGGAAAACAGCGTGAGGCACTGTATGAAGGCACCTGGAGGGTTGGGAATTCCCTCCCCATCAGCAGGAGGAATGTAAGCTGCAGTTATCCTTCACTGGGCTCCATGACAGAAAAAGTAAGGAGCTGAACTAAAAAAAACAGTTAGATGCAAGATGAAAAACAGGAGAGCAACACTCATGAATTGCTAATGAACTATTTTTCCATTACTTCCATTCTGCCTCCCTGTGCCGCCTTCATAAATATATCTGAACCTCTGTAGATCTCTCATAGAAGGGAAGGATATATTACCTACTTTGCAGATGGGAGAAAAACAGAAGGGAAGCAGCCTGCCCACAATCACTTGGCAGGTCTGTAACAGATAAACAAACTGAAATACACTATATTTAGACCACTGAACAAAATCCACTGGACAATATCTCAATAACAGTCCACATTTGGGCTACAGGCAAGAACTGTCCTTTGTTTATACAGCCCTAATGATATGCACAACTTCTAAATGTTAAGTTCCATGCCTTTCTGGGGGGCATCCAGCAGACTTTCTTATATTAAGATATCTCTTGGGCAGGTCTTGCAAGGATTTTCAAAAATTGACTAGTATGCAGCTGGACCTAAATATGACCAAGTACGTGTTAAATCCTAGTACAGGTTTAGAAGAGCTGCTGTTAAGAGCTCATATACAGAGTATGTAGGAACACAGACATACCTGCTTGCAGGTACAAGTACTTCTCAAACCCGCAGAGGGATGTTGGCCTACTTCAGCAGGAAGATATGCTTGGCCAACCTTCATATCTCACCTGTAAGCTGCAGCTCCGTTGAGTTCTGGGTGGACAGTTGCAGGATCAATACTGGACCACTGAGCTGCTAACAGCAAGTACTCCTTATTAACACAGTTCCTCAAAGCATCGGGTATGTGACCTGCAAGAGCACCAAGAATGACAAAAAAAAACCAGGACACAGGTAGGGGGGAGCTTGTTCCCTGCAGCATTTACAAAGGAGAGCAGAAAGGAAATGTGCAACATCTTTTTCATCTACCTCCACAGGATAACAGTGGGCAGGGGAGACTCTCCTCTGAGCACCTGGTCTCTGGAGAAGACAAGAAATTGATCCTTCCTTCCCACTTCTGTGATCTTGGGAAAATTATTGACCACAACCTGCAATTGCTAAGCCTCGCCCTTTC